GAGGCGGAGCCAGCAGGAACGTTAGGGCCGTTGGCGGGGGGGCTGGGGAGAGGTATGTGAGGAAAAAGCACAAAAGCGAACGGCGGAAGCTCCAAGCTGAGCTTGCCCCGGAGCTGAAGGGTTTGGGCGCCGTCCCTGTCGCTTAGCCCGTCCGGGGCAAGTGGGGGTTACGCTGTGTAGCTTGCAAGCGTATGGAGTCCTGCCCTCGGGACTCGCCGGTCGACAACGTAAATTATAGGCAGTAACTTACTAGTTATGTGGCCTAGTTGTAGTTTGTTGTCGTCTTCTAGTGTTTCTTCCAATTTCTCATCCATAAAATAAACTAGGCCTATGTAGTGCCCTGAACGCTGACATCCTTCTTGTTGCTTTACTTGGAAGAAATTATACTGGATTTGAGGGAGTGATGATTGGGATTTTCTTGACCCTAAGACTCTGCTGAAGTTCTCAGCCTCGACTTAACAGGAGTTAATTAACACTATTAACAGGGCTCCCAACACTTACAGTGCCTTTGTAATTTAGGCAAATATGAGGAAGTAATTATTTTTCAGCTGCTGTACGTGAGCAAGCCATGACGATATCGTGGTTGATTTCAAATGCCAGTAGTTACTTTGGTGGAAGTTTGAGTCTGTACCAGTTTGGAATGGTGATGGAATGCCTCTGATCTTTGTCATCAGTCAAAATGTAGGTTGTATTGCAGTTGTATTTAGCAGATTTGTGTACAATTATTTTTAAAAGGAACATGGGAAATAAACAACAGTTTTCTAAGATGTGCTAGGAAACCACATTGGTGTGGTTAAACTCCCAAGTTTAAAGTCTGGCTATGGTTTAGTTACACTGTGATTTAATAAAGCGTGAGCTTGGTTAAACCCAATCCACAGGACTTCCCATTGCTACCACTGGTTTGCTGAATTATGGTGATCATTTTGCTTTTCTGCGGAAAACTGAATAACAGATATTGATAAGGGTTAGTCCCCAAACTCTTTTTGGTCTTTTTTCCTGCATTATGTGATATTGTTTCATCTAAAGAGCATAACCATTAATTCTCTCTGTACTCTTCTTAAATAGATAAGGAAGCCCATAGCTGTGTGTGGGCTATGGATTTATGGTGTTTGTTTCATGTGCTGCATCTTCAGCCAGTCATGAAATGGCCAGGTATATTAGAGTGATATTGCACTGGGTGATTAGAGAAAGCATCTGGCAAACCTGTGCTAAATTCACAAAATATAAAATGCTCCTTACGCATTTCTGTTTTCACTATGGAATTGAAAATCATTTAGACTTAAGCGCCTGAATCTCTTCAGTTGATGGCCGTGGTGTATGTCTTAAGCAGGGTGGTTCTGGTAATGGGAGCAGGCTAACTGCAGTAGTATCATGGTCTCTATAAGCTAATTTATCGTGCTCCATGATTCATACATAAGTATGTCTGTGTACTCTTGTATCCATCTTGTTAATGAATTACTTTAGAAAATCCTGCTTTTAAATGTGTCAGATCATGGGGATTTATAGGAAATTCTGAAGCTGAGATGAATGCTGTGGGGTTTTTTTTTACTGATTATCATAGTGATGCTTAGAGGTCCTGTGTAAAAACATGCAAGTTGGGAATGGATGCCATTAGCATCAGTATCTAGCTTTCTCTTCTAAAAACTGCTGCAAGAGAGTTCAATTAATAGTTTATATGAAAAATAGATTTCTTTGGAGAAAGAATGCACAATTCAGGGATAGAATTTACACTTTAGTAAATATTAATGAAGATCTGAAGAGAGCCTAGCTTGTTGTATGACATTACTGGAGGAAAAACTGTTATTTTGTTGTTATCTGTAGCACTTTGTCAGCACTGTACCTTTCAATATTCACAGGCATTCTTAGAATTAAGAAAAAATAAGATTAGACATGTTGTTCAAAAGAAGTAGCACTGTCTTGTACTGAATAGGAAGCAACAAAAGAATAAGGGATGGTAATGTTACAAATTCCAACTTAATTTCAAAGTGGTGTTACAATTGTTTTGTGGATGTATATTTCTATTAGTAAATAAAAATGGAAGTCTTCTGACTACAGTATGGCTAATGTCATCCAGTGATGCTTAGGATTTTTTGAAATCTAAATTTTTGTAAGAAACATCTTGATTAGTTTTTGAGAGCTGAAATCCAAGTTTCCATATTTGTCCAACATCTCTTTATAACCATGCAGACTCTACTTGCATTATTTTAAATGGGAACTGCTATTCTCACATAATTGCATAAAATGAGGAACAGTTGCTTCATGAAATGCATCAGATAGCACAAAACCAAGATAAAATCACAACATCTAGCATTTTGACAACCTCTTCATTTTAAAAATA